GGGAGCCGAAGCTGGCTGACCTCTATTTTAAATGTCAGAGGTGCTTCACCCTTGCCTTTCAGATTCCATTTGCCTTTTTTAACCCTTCCCTAGGGTTGAAGCAACACCGTTGTAGAGAAGCACTTGTGCGGCCTGAGTTGTACTGTTGTACAGCTGGAGTCATTGTTTTTTACAGCTGTGTCTCGATCGCTTTCTACACTGCCCGTGTTGTTGGCAAGCCTGGCTGGGTTGTGCCGTGTTTATTATAGCTGTGAAGTCTCTTGTCAGTAACCGGGCTGACTTTCTTGATGACCAAATGAATTTATAAAGCCTTCAAAATCCCCATGTTACAAAATACGGGCACTTATTCATCCGCTTCTTTCAAAACAGCATCCCATGGGTGAATTGCTCCCTGTTAGCACATGTAAAAGGACAGACATTGATATTCTTCTGTCATTGTTTTTCTTTGTTAAACTGGACTCACCTTCTCTCGCTTCCCCCCAGGTCTCCCCAGGCATGTCCCAGGTAGTGTGGTTGGTATTGCCATGGCTATCTATTTCTAATCATCATAGGTAATCAATATTAAAGTTCCCCTATTTTGTCCCGTTGTTTTCTAGCTTCAATATTAGTTGAGAGTGCAGAATAACTACGAAGAACAAACTGTGTGTACCTGCGTTTGGTACACTCGGAAGTTCATAGCTTCGACAGTAATGTCAGTTTGGGAAAATACTGAATTAACAGAGGAAGACTTCAGTAATCAGTCTCTGACCCACCCTGCAGCTGTGTGCTGCATACGATTGACTTAAAAACATTCATAGGATTGTAACATTTCCTACCTTAAAGTAAATATTTGAATTAAGCCTTTCAGAGATGTGTATAATCACTGCCTCAGCTGAACCTGGAATGGCAGTAAATGTATTCTCTATACATGGAAGCGACAAATGCTTACATTTTTTTGTAAATGCAGTGACTCTGTTTAAAATGGAGCGGGTTTCAGATCAGAAGAATTGCTCTCTACGGTTCTATTTAGTCGAGCTTTTTTTCTTGTCAGATGGCCATTCATTTTAGTCGTGGGTTTTGGATGACAAATGGATGGGATGACAACATTTTTAAGAACGTTCTGTCCTGACTTGTCTGGTGTTTATATCCCTTTTGTTGGTACAAGGAGCCGTCCTGCGCCGATCAGGAACTCCCTGCGTAGGAAATACTGCGATCGCCCTCGCCTGTGGTGATTGCGCTGTCCTTGGGCCTTTTTCTAGGCATCTGCTGACAGTTGCTGTCAGGGTGCTGGACTGTCTGGCCCTTTGGTCTGACCTGGTATGGCCTCTTTCAGGTAACGGCAGAGCGGCCCACGAGCAATTCCCTGCTGCCGTATGCACTGTACGAACATCAGTGCGTAACTGCGGGAAGCTTTCGGTTGCAGTAAGCTCTGCAAGCGTAGGTGAAGTGGTGTAACAGTCAGCTAACAATGACACCAGAAAGGGAGGATGTCTCTGGCTCTTCCATATGAACTGTAAGACTGTTAATATATTGATCTACATCAAATGAACTGATTTGCGTAGTAGTTTGGTTTTAAATGTTTCCTCTGAGTAGGTTAGTGGGTGTATATTTTGCTGGTTTTAGGGGCAAATCGTAAAGCAACTGCTATCTTTGTGTTCTCCAAGACCACAATAAAGTTACGTTTCACTGACATGAGGACTGCTTTTGGGAGCAGAATTTCTTTTTTTTCTTCAGAAACATGCTAGCTCTTAAAGATACATCCAGTGACAACTTTGGAGAATTCCAAAGAACCAAATATTTAGTGGCTGTATCACATACTGTGTGTAAAAATCCATTCTTTTTGAACTTTGAAGTAACAGTGGAAATTTTTTTAATTCTCTGAGTTTTACTGACAAGATTCTTGAGACCCGCCTAAGTACAGTTAAAAATCTAAGTTTGGACAGTAGTGAAAGTTGCTATTAAAATGATGCGTGTGATACCTACCTTCAGGAGTAAGAGGTGTTTTTTTTTTTTCCAACCCATTCATATCAAGTGTATATACTGAGCAGGGAAAGCATCAAAAATGACTGGGATTCTCTGACAGCAAGAAATACCCATCTTTATTTGAGAGTTTGTGGTAAATAGGGGCTTTGACTCTTCGTGCCCACCTCGCTAACGAGTAATGTAACTTGAAAAGACAAGCTTTATTTTTGGTTTTACAATGTCAGCTTTATTTTACTGTGCGTGTTTACAGACCTTTCCTGCGGGTGGAGAGGAAGGAAATACTGCTTTGAAGTTAGGATTTTTGTCTGTCTTCCAGCAGCACAGATCGAGAATTAAGTTGTGCCTTGGAAAAACCCTTTCTAAAGTCTGTGTTCCTCACTTACGGGCTTCATGTTGCTGGAAAGTGGGTTAATGACTCGGCAAACACATCAGCGTATCAGTGGCAGCAAGAGCTCTTGAATCTTCTACAAATAAGGATGATACAGGAAAGAGAATATGATAGAAATTAGAGTTACAATGAAGGCTAGTTTGTGCAGACGGGCATTTTATAGGATAGGAAGAACTTGTTGAACTGCAGATCGAGGAATTATTTAAAAACAATAAGTATATCATTCAGATTTGATTTCAAGAACTAAACGAAGACCTGAATCTTCTTTTGCAGAACCAAAAAACAAAAGAACAGATCGAAAGCTTGTTACAGAATGGAAAGCATAAAGAGTTACGGGATCGGCTCTGCTGCAGGCTGACCTTTGGGACTGCCGGTCTTCGCTCTGCTATGGGAGCAGGCTTTTGCTACATTAACGATCTTACGGTGATCCAGTCAACACAGGTAAGCTGAACAGTTGCATAGGAGACAACTGAATGGTTTCGCAGTAAACGTCTGGGTCCTACACCGTACCACTGAAATACAAGCTGAGGGTGAAACACAGCAGCCATTCAACAGGAGAGTAATAGCAGGAAATGTTTAGCGCCGGAAGAAAATGAAGTAGCTTGAACAGGTTTAGTTGGACATCCTAGGAGGTGGAGAATAATCCCTTCCACTGGAATTTGGCCAGTAGTTAAGAGTCTATTATACTCCTCTGAAACGGGAAATCATTAGCTGTCATAAGAACTTTCAGTATTTGTCAAAATTAAACAAAAAAACAATAAGAAAACCTAGAAAGCAAACCCACCCCCAACCAAACAAGCCTTTTCTTTCATTTTTAGCCAAAGTTGACTAACAATACAAAATTAGCAGGTTTTACTAAGAAAATGAACAGGAAGTAAGATGAAAAAGCAAATGTAGACTGACTGTGGAGAAAATTTTTTAACTTCCAGGGAATCCTTCCAGAAACACTGGTTGTGTTACCTGCAGCTGGATTGGATAATTGCAGAAAATACTGGGGGCATTAATGAAATTAAGTGGTGGTCCTGTAGCTCTGTCTGCAGCTCCTGGCACTTTTTAAAGTAGAGATGCAAAAAAGTAATTTGACAGACAGTATGTAACATAAGATTTGCAGTTTGAGAGTTTAAGTTTGTATCAGAAAAGTTGATGATTCATGGTTTATCTATGATTTCATATTTGTGTATTTAGAGTGGGTTAGAGATAGAACTATTTGCTAAGAAAACATTGGAAACAGATGTTGATCTTTGAGGACTAGTTCTTTGAAATTTGGAGTAGAGTACTTTGTGATGGACTTCTTGATTTGGATGCAGGCAGGGAGATCTTAGAACTTAGACGTAGCTCTTGACTGCCATTTCGATAGTTGGATATTAGTGTTGTTGGAAGGGGTCTGATGGGATGGGTGTGCACGTGGGGTAAAGTTTTGGCCAGGGAGGCTTTAGTCCTCATTTCCCGCTCCTCTGCCAGAGGTCAGGCTCCACGTGGTGGTGGCGCTGGTTGTATGTTTAGGAGGGCACAAAAGCTGGTAGGTGGTGTTGAGGAGCTGGATAGCGACTGCCATGGAGTCATGAGTGCTGTGGTGGGGAAGGCTGGTGGCAGAGATTCCTCGCTTCTGACACATCCTTTCCTCGAACCGTGTTTTAGGTTCTTTTGACTCGCTGTTTAAGTTGATTGACAACCAGAAATACAATTTTCTGGGCTTGTTTCTTCAATATCTTTTACCCTTCTTTTTTCCTCTCTTGATATTGGTCTTGCGTGCCAGAAGAGGGATGGAAAATGATCAGCCTCTTCTCAGTTTCCCTCCCTGCCTCTCTTTCAAGCAATATTAATGAGTTGTATGTGTGTTGATTGTCTGACTAAATCAACCTGTTGATTAATATAAGGCTTAATCATCTCTCTGCTTTTCTTCGAAGCGCTGTTTTGTTCAAGGGCAGACGATATATTCTTTCTCAAAGAACTTGATCCCCTGTTGTTTTAATTTCTTTCCCCACCTTTTTGATAAACACCTTGGGAAGGAACAGTTGATGTTGATGTAGCTTTTGATCAAAAGTGCTCCATGCTCCTTTTCTATATTGCTGTCTCGTAGTGGATTCATTCTTAAATTTGCTTATTGTACAGTACCAGGGTGCTTTTCAGCTGATGTGCTCCTCTATCAGTTTTTCCCCCAAACAAGTAGATTAAGTAACTAATTTTCACAACTAAATTAATAAGAAATTAATTCAGAGTATGTCTGAAATTTATTATCCAGACTTGGAGCACATGAAAGAGGAGTCTGAATTGGAACATGATCTAGGGTTGTAGTCCTGTTAAACTGTCATCCCTGACTCCGACAGTCATTCTTGTACATACTTTATTGTGGTAAATATTAAGCAAAAAGCAGTTGGATTCTTCATCTGCAAAATAGCTTTCTCTCACCCCAGTGGAGGTAGTGGGAGGCAAGGAAAGAGAAGTGTTGAATCCTTTTGAAAACGAAGAGCATGAGTCAGAAAATGGATATTCCATATTTCCTGTCCCTAGGGACATATAGAATACAAATGGCTTTGGACTGTGTATATTAGATATGCTTAAACATCTTATCTGTTCCCACCTTTAGTCTTGACTATTGAAAATATAATGAATTGCTGTATTTGTGACCATTGTACTTGGAACATCAATAAATAGTTTTCAGTATGACAAACCTACTGAATCTTAGGTACTTTGTTAAGTACTTTTTTTATAATTGGAGCTTCAGCCCTAAGATAAAAGGTGTCTTATCACATGATTTACATAGGGTTGATAAAAACCTCTCATTTAATACTGGGTACTTAGTCATTTTAAAGTAGTCGTCTCTTTGCAGGTTAATGCTGTGATACGAGTCCCTCAATAGACATGACTGAAATGATTTGGTTTGTTGGCTGAGGGTGAAGGGGTGTGCTTAAAATTTAGAACAGCTGGGACTTTATTAAGCTGTTTGACATACTGCTAATGTCTGGCTTGTACAGCCGGACCCCAAACTTCTGCAGTGAAACCAAATTCCAATAGCTGTCCATACCGGCTTTGAAAAGAATAGAAGTAACGTGTTGGAGCTCATTGGTGGTGTTTGAAACCTGGCCTTATGTCTGACCATATTTTGCTCTTCAGTTTTGTCTTGGGTCTAACAGAAAGTTTTCTTTAGGTTTCTAACCTCTAAACTGGACACGCTGTAGAATGATGCTTCCTTTAATTCTGGCCTTACTGATCTGAGTGTGCCAAACTCATCTGCTATACAAACTATACAAATACTGTACAGATTGTCTCCGCTGATCCAGTGGGAATGAGCTGAAGAGATGAAGGAAAAAAATAATTTAAAAACTTCTAGTTTGTTGCCAGTGGTGGAATTGTTAAGAGTAGCAAAGTTGCTTTAGCAAGCCTACTTTTCTTTGAAGCAGAGTAAACATCTTGATAAGGAGGCTAAGTTAATAATAGTCACTTTATTTTTTGGCCTGTGCAGTCTGAATTTGGAGGTGCTCACGCTCCCAGCGCCTGAACGTTGCATGCTGCCTTTGTGTTTCCAGTCTCGTGAAAGCGTGACTGAGCTTGGATAGGCTGACTGATACGCATTCTTGGCAGAAAGTGAAAAGTTTCATTTTGGTCAGCAAGGAATGTGTTTACAAGTTCAGTTTCATGGGTATTACCAGTTTCTGAAAGTAACAAACTGGGTTGTATTCATTTGCTCCCCCTGTGGAGCTTCTATTTTTAGTTGTTTATTAAAGCCAAGTTAGAAAAAGCAATCTCTGGGAAGCAGATTAAAACTTGTTCCTGAAGTAAACTGCATTAGATTTAATCTCTTTGTTTGAGTACACTTGTTTCAGAAGCGAAGGCCGTTAAGTTTTGCTGAACCTGTCTGAAAATGGGCAACCCTGTCTCTCTCTTTGTCCTTACCTGCTACGGGAATAAATGGCCATTCAGAAAAGCAGACTTCAGTGTAATTAAAGTATTTCCTTCAACTAAAATAAACCTCAGTTCAGTTGCATGCTTAAGCACATGCTGTGTTCTGCATTTGCATGACGATACTGATATTGTGAAAAGTCAGATCCAGAAAGGTACAGAATATCCAGAAGTTGCTTTTGACTCTTCTGAAGATTGTAGGTATGTAAC